ATTGCCATACAGCAATTAATTACACCACGTCAAGCATGCGTTCTCAATCAACCGAGGCAGCCTTATCCCACAACAGATGTCGGCATGAGCTTTTGATGCGACATGCAAATTTACAGTTACCACACGCCCCTCCTTTACTTGCAAGTCAAACATGTGATTGCGGAAGATCGAACATGCAAAAGCACAGCTCCAAAGGACTGGCAACAACGGACTGTGATGACTTGGCTAGGGTAATTTCCACCAATACCTGTCGCCGGAACAACTCTGAAATTCGTCAACGGCAAATTTAGCCTGCGGAATCACGCTATTAACGCAACATGACAAGTAGCCACAGTCCCGCCATGATTAGGGGCAGAAAGACTTGGTCAAGAGAAACAGTCGAGCCCATGATTCGAAAGCGGGAACGTTTATCTCCTTGGCAGGGTGCCATGATTGTGCACAAAATCGGGCCCTGATGCTGCGCCCAAGTTTAGCAACTTGATCTGCCGTTGCCAGACGGTATTGTGAATAGTTTCCGCCTCTTCGGAGTTTAGTTTGTATCAGGGCCAAAGGTTCCTACTTGTACATAGCGTGACAAAGAATACCTAGGTCTTAGGCAGAGGACGAGGTTGGTGTGCCCTGCAAGACTTTACCCATCATACAAAAATGGGAGAAAAAACTCCCCCCCAAAGCGTCGTGTTGGATGGAGTCAGGCGTGGCTGTATTTGGGGTGCACGGTCCAGTGATGGGTGTTCAGCCTCTTTCTCGTCAGTTCTGCGTCAAGGTGTCTATTGCAAATGAGCCTTTGGTCCAAGCAACATTGGTTTGCTCACGGTCGAATGTGACGGGCTTGTACTCCGGAGCGTTCCGATACTTCTCTTGGCGGAGAGCGACAGCCCGAATTTGAGGGCAGGTTGACTGGACTGGTTATTGAGCTGGCTGTCGGCCGCTTTGAATGCTGACATGTGGATGATGGAGATCGAGATGGAATGTAGATCTTAGCGAAGCTGGGACACCATGACTCCGGCGGGTGTCCCGAGTGCAATCAGTCTGATTCTGCTGATGGCTGAAGGGCCTCCTATTGGTTTGCACCACAGCCTTATAACGACGTGTTTTTTGCTGATTCGGAAGTGACAGGCACTCCTGCGGCACAGAATCTTGCATCCCCCGGGTTCCAAGCTTCAAAGCTTCGCAGGCTGCTCGGGCGTCCCTGCTCACGCCCAGCCGGGGCAGGCCGGCATGATTACAGCCACCGTTCGAATGGGCCAGTGATTGTTCTGTGATTCTGCAAAGTCGGTGCTGAGATGCCGGAGAAGATAGAACTTGTGTATTGGAGTGACGTACGTGTGGTGCGGCCGCAAAACTGCACATGAAGGTCACAGCCACTTGCTGCGTACCGATGACATGTACGAACTTTAAACCGTTTGACAGGCACTCGGAAATTCACGGACCGGGACAAATTCCACGGGCAGTCTGGAAGGCAAGCTTCGGGCTGTGGCACATTCTCTTCCCTTGACGCCACTGAATGATGGACCGTTGATGATGATTGTTGCAGATGGCGACGAGTTCACGACCGTGACTTGGAGCGTGACATAAGCTTTCGAATGTTCCAGCGGTGCTGTGAGTGGCTGTCAGCGGTGTCCAGGTGGTTAGTGGCGCCCATAGGCGGTCAATGGATGGCCCCAGGCTGCAGCTTGGGGGCCACTTAGCGTCTAATGTTGGGCTGAGCCGCTGTCTGGTGTCTCCACTGGTCAACTGGTGTCCACTGTCAACTCTAGAGTCACTGGTGCTGGCACCTGGGCGCAGCAGAGAGCCACAGCCAAGTCGACATTGAACGACGGCCCAAACGTCCATGTCACGATGCCACGAGGCCCGGCCCATCAATCCGCCGGTTCAGCCCTTTTCTTACGCTCAACCATCCCATTGACACATTGGCTTAATGTTCGTTTTCGCCCCATCTTGCCCAGCCCGGCTTCGGATTTTTGCGCCTTGTCAGGCAAAGTCGAGTTACGCCTACACGTGACGACAAAGTGCTCGCTCAGCCCTGCCTTGCTCCACGTTGCACGCTGCATGCTGCAAGGCCAGAATCTGGGTCCGACTGGAATTGGAGAACAAGGAACAGGCAGGTCGAGTATGAAGAGCCTCTTCTTCTTGGTCTGATTTTTGACTCAAATCGGCGTGGCTTGTTTCCGACCCTGTCCCCCCTCCTAGCCACTCCGTATCCATCGTCACACTTGACGCTTACCTATCGTCACGCTCCTTGTCTTATTTCAATGTCAAGTCCCCTTCCACAACTCCCCCTTCTACAGCAGTAATCACTACTGTTACGAATCTTCTACCGAGTACAAGCATCGATTTTCAGATTGCGGCTTGAGTCCTCCACTACTCTACAGCATGGACCAAATGTTGCAGCACTTCCCGCCAGGGATTCTCACCTACCCAGACCCTTCCGAGTTTGACTATTCGACCTTTCTGCAGCAAACGGAGGATATCCCTTTCCCAGATCCATCGCACAGCACGTCAACAGGAACCGTTTCGGAGTCATCTCCGGGCCAAGCAACACCCCCGAGCTCGGATGGGCGGAGTACGTCTGCTGTTGTCGACATGTCAGTCATGCGCCGCCAATCCGCTCAGAAGCAGAGGTTAGAGCGCAGGGGTCATACCAAGAGCAGACGCGGATGTTATAACTGCAAGAGGAGGCGTATCAAGGTATCTATCACCAGTCTCTTGCGCGCACGAGCAAATCCCTGAAAGGCTGAGACTCTAACCCGCCGCCATAGTGCCAGGAGACTCGCCCTGCGTGCGGCCATTGCGTAAAGACGGGGTTGAAGTGTGAATACCCGTCCATGCCTCAAATCACCCACCAGGTACGAACCACGGGAAGATGGGGCATGTCATCCCAGCGTCCACGACTAACATTATAGTAGCCTCACCATCAGGTTCCTCTTTTCAGCCTGCAAGACATGCGATTCTTCCAGCACTTCCTCACCCAGTGCTACCCCCACCATCCGTTGAAGCAAGAGGAGATTTGGACCCACGAGATCCCGTGCATTGCCCACAATGTAAGTTACGTGACACAAAACAAAGACGGGGGATATTGACTTTCTTTTTTTTTTTTTCCCGATAGCATGAATTCTTGATGCACGCCATATTGGGCTTTGCCGCATCAGAACTTGTCCCCACCGACAGCTCCTTCGTCCAAGCCGCCATGAACCACCGCATCAAAGCTATCAAAGCCATCAAGAAGCGGCTTTCCGAATCTGCGCGCGCCCAGACAAGCTACGAAGAAGCTAACGCCCTCGTCGCCACTTGCTTTGCATTGACCTTCCAGTCTGTTTCTCTAGAAGACGGTCTGGCAGAGTATATGACGTTTATTCGAGGCATTCTCATTGTCGGAATGCAAATGATGTTCAAGGGAATCAAACCCATTTTCGAGCAGCTATTCGAAGACCGACAGGACGAGGTGATGGAGCCATATCTTAGAGATTTACCCTTGATCCAACGAGGGTGGGCTGACGCCGCTGTCGAAGCCATCTCCAACCTACGGCCACTATGCGCCGAACCGGTAGAAGTTGAGTATTGCGAACAGCTACTTGGCATTGCAGAGAAGCTCAACGTAAATTCCTTTGACGGTACGCGGTAGCTTTTTCGTTGTTTCCAAATCTTGCCTACCAATACAAGACTCTAACTGTACCCGCAGCATATAAATCCAACGGCAGACAATATGCATGGTGGATGATGTTACCACATAGCACCTTCCAGCAGCTTATCAATCTCGACAGACAGAGCATGATTCTGCTTCACGCACATTGGATCGCCTTGTCGCAGATTATGGCATTCATCACCGAGCGCGAGTACGACGTTCGTGAAAAGAGGCCAACGGCTTCGACCGACCCTGGACCTGCACCGGGATTTGTGAAGTGGTTGAAGTTTCTCAATGCCAGAGTGGACTACGAGCATCAAATGTACAACCAGTGGCCGTTGTGGGTAGAAGCACAACTGGACAAGGATCTTACGTTTTTTGGACGACGACTATGAGTACTATGACGTTCGGGGGCGCGGCGCCAATGCGAATTACGGGTCTATTACAAGGGGTGAAATTGGATATATTTGTTGTAATTATTACCAATTCTAGTGTCTTCTTCTATGAAACTCGAATCCAATTTCCCGTGGAGATGTGCTTCCTACCTTGCACTGACGCACCCGTGTCATTATGCTCATCCCCACTTACACGCAGCCATCAACTAACTCTCCACACCGTCGTTGATTCGCCAGTGGGTGTGATCTGGCGTCCATTCCCTACGTCACGGCCAGGCAGCAACGTTTTTCCCGCCCTATTCTCTCGCCCACCAACTGCCATTGCAAAATACTGGCACGCAATGCCCCTTCTACCAATCACCAAAGGCCCCTCACCTGGCCACACAGCCCCAAGTTCCTTCCATCGAACCTTCGAAAAAAACGCCAGAACCCCCCCCTTTTCTCGTGCCGCACATCAGCACAGCCACCCAGCCCAGCAACGCCTTGCGCTGCACCTCATGGCTCGCCTGGCAGCCTCCAGAAATGTTGGAACAAGCTTTGTGGGGCAGCGGCACTCGTTCTGCCGCGTGATTGGTTGCGGCTCCACATCCCCGTGAATCGTATTGATCGTATCGCCCAGCACAAGCGAAACGGTTATGCTCCCCGCTTTTAGGGCGAGTTGAGCGAATTAGGAAGCTGGGGGACGGGGGAGCCCGTTGTGGCGGCGCCGTTATCAGCGGGAGCCGTATTTCGCGATGGGAAATTATGGGGCCGGCTCTATTTCACGAAATGCGGTGCACGCAAGATGCATCTCTCAGAGCACGAGTATATAATTGTCGTCAACTCGAGGCGTAAAATGGCATTATTGAAAAAAAGTCAAACCTGTCGTCACATAAACTTTGTGACCGCGGACTTGGGAAAGGAAACTCTTCAAAATTACTTGCGACAATCCGCACACTTGATACTCCCCGTCAGACTCAGCACCACTTACACGACAAGCAAAAATGATGGCCGCGCAGGTGCTCGACAGCAAAGCCGCACTCCGGCAGCGCGGCACGCGGGCCAGCCTGCCCCCCGAATACGCCGAGGGCGACTACATCGAGCTCGGCGGCCTCTCGACGCCCCGGACATCCACCGAGTCGCTCCCGGCCTACGACGAGGCCGTGTCGTCGCAGCCGTTGTCGGCCGCAGCAGCAGCCGCTGGCCTCCGGCCAACGCACACCTACCAGGTCGAGTCCGAGGGCCACCCGCTCCTCGCGCTGCCCCTTGCGCCTCGCCCCTCGCCCATCGGCGTCTTCGCCGTGCAGCCCGACGGCTCCCTCGGCCCGCTGGCGTACCAGTCGCTCCGGCACGCGCGCTGCTCCGGCGA